TCACTTCAAAAAAGAGAATAATATAAGTGTCTTTGCGATAGTTTAGATTATATATTTGCTATTGTAACCAACCATACACTATGTTAGCTAAACAAACCTAACTATGCATATGGTATTTTTTACTACAATTTCTGTCGTCACATAATAAATCAACTTGAGTCTGATGGTCACCAAACTAGTGGATTGACCGGCGTTTGCTTTAGAATTTAAATATTTCAACTTGAGTCTGATGGTCACATAATATTTCAAGTTTCTTAAGACATATGGTATTTTTTACTACAATTTTGGTATCACTTATAATCTTCAATATTGTACTAAAGTCTTTGTATATTGTCTTGCTAAGAAAGTGAAAAAGCACGAGGCCATATATGTTCAGCAGTTTGTGATTGGCTTTCTTTCAAAGAGAGTTTTTTTTTTCTACAAATGAAATGAAATCAATGATATTGTGTTTTGTTATAAAAATAAAACGCATGTTTTTTTTTTGATAACTCAGGTAAATTCCAGGTTTACGAAGGTGTGCAGACCAATCTCTAAAGGAGGTGCAGTACATATATACTATTTCTCTGGATATGCAAGTGAGCCAAAAATGACCATATCATGTTGATGTCCAAAACAATATGTTTTTAGTTTTGTTCAGCACGTAGATCGGATTTGAAATGTACTGACGTCCTAAATTCGTCTCTTTACCACTTAACCACAACAATAAAATGTGTTATCATGTAATGTTTTCTAGTTCGTGTAAGATTCATTATAATATCATTATTATTATGTCATTATCACATTTTGATTAGATAATTTTTACGGTAAACAAGATTAAATGATAAGAGAACAATAAATAAAGATTCTTTGTATTATATTACATGAAAAATGAAATCCAAATTTATGTTCTCCTTGTAAACTTTCATAAAATTTTCTAGTGATACAAAAAGACAAAAGCAGAATATACACTCATAAATCATATAAAAAGTAGATTCAAAAATTTAAAATTTGAGAACTTTTTGTATTTGTTATTCTGAATAAACAATCATAATCCTTAACGTCTCTTATTTTTTGAACCCCCAATCTTTGGACCGTTAGCTAGGTGGAGGAATGAGGATGTTCGTGGTCCACATAAAATCACTTTCGAATACCGATTTAAACCTATATATAAATATATAAATTGTAAAATAAAACCAACATGGTTATTTATTTGTATTATCATTTAACCTACCTGATGAACTAAGCAAATGTATACATATAGAAGAAACGTATTACGAATGTGTGGAATGAAGGAAAAACGGTGTTGGTCGTACAAACCCCTCGTCGTCTTTGAAGAATCGAAGTAAACACCATGCCGTTTTGTTTTTTCTTCAAAAAATCAGAAGAAGCGAATTCTTTTTTTTTTTAATTATTATATAAACACGCTTTACTTTTTCTCCTAAAAAGCCAAGTAAAAATCTCTCTTGGTCGACTCAAATTCAAAATACCTCTCTCTCTGGTTCCATATCTCACCGTCGCAGATCTATTCTTGCCGGTGTAATATTTTCCGGCGGAGACACCAGATCTGCTACTGTATTCTCTCAGTAGCCTTTTGGGCGACCGTCGCAGTAGAGGAGGATGGAGAATCTGATCTCTCTGGTTAATAAGATACAGAGAGCTTGCACAGCTCTGGGAGACCATGGAGACTCGAGCGCCTTGCCAACTCTATGGGATTCCTTGCCTGCGATTGCCGTCGTTGGTGGTCAGGTTTGAATCTCGAATATTAAATCCGATCCATCGAATTGGGATTATCTTGGCCTAGAACTAGACTTGTAGTATGATGGTATAGTGGGATGTGGACTTGGGTTTGACTTGGATATTATTATTTTCACTCGATTTCCTTTCTGTTCAATACAGTTTCATTCTTGTGTTAACAGAGCTCAGGGAAGTCTTCAGTCCTGGAGAGCATCGTCGGAAAGGACTTTTTACCCCGTGGATCTGGTAATCATTGTGTTCTTGCAATTTGAAATTGCTTCTTTCCTTGTGTAATGGAAAAAATGCATTTGCATAGGTATTGTTACTCGAAGGCCCCTTGTCTTACAGTTGCAAAAGATTGAAGATGGAACCCGCGAGTATGCAGAGTTCCTTCATCTCCCCAGGAAAAGATTCACCGATTTTGGTGGGTTCGCTTGTCTCATCTCTAGTTCCACTTTCACCTTCACCTTCACCTTCTTCTATATTGGATTTTTCATACTTCATTCACCTTTGTAGCTGCTGTGAGGAAGGAGATTCAAGACGAGACTGACAGAGAAACTGGACGCAGCAAGGCCATTTCTAGCGTTCCCATTCACCTTAGCATATACTCTCCCAATGGTGAGGATATATCTCACTTTCTCATTTTAATTGAATTTGCTTTTTTCTTTCTTTTTTTTCTAAAACTTTTTATCCTCTTTGCAGTTGTCAACTTGACACTGATTGATCTTCCAGGGCTTACAAAAGTTGCTGTTGGTAAGTTACATTAACTGCACTCCCTGCTGGAACAGTAGAGCAAGGAGTTTATTGCTATTTGTCTAGCGATGGAGCATGAGGCAATATACTTTATTTCTATACCATAGATACTTTAGCTTGACATGATAATATTTTTTGGGTTGATGCAGAGGGACAATCTGAAAGTATAGTGAAGGACATTGAAAACATGGTTCGGTCCTACATCGAAAAGGTAAAAGGAAATCCGTTGTCGCAGACCCTCTAATGTCTTATGGACAACTTATTGCCAGACTAAATTAGGGTGGCTAATACATAGCTACCACATATTTTTTTCCTGTACAGCGAACGAGTTGACATTATTCTGTTTTCTGTTTAATCAAATTTCCTTATAGCCCAACTGCATCATTTTGGCAATCTCACCTGCAAACCAAGATCTGGCTACCTCAGATGCAATTAAAATTTCCCGTGAGGTTGATCCATCGGGTAAGCCTATTGCAAACCATTAATTTTGCCACCAAAGAGACCCAGCCCGTTATGCCTCTTATACTCTCTATGATCTCCACAGGGGAGAGAACATTTGGTGTCTTGACCAAGATTGATCTTATGGACAAGGGGACTGATGCAGTGGAAGTAAGTTGCCTTACCAAATAATAGAATAACTGTAAGATAAGCTGCAATTACTGTGAATAAAACGTGTGGGACATGCAGAATGGTCTTTTGTAAATAGACTTATGATAGGATGTTCGAGCTACTTCATACTTATTTTGTTAGTAACATAATACAGATGTTTCCTCATTAGTAACATAATACTGATGCAGTGGAAGTAAGTTGCCTTACCAAATAATAGAATAACTGTAAGATAAGCTGCAATTACTGTGAATAAAACGTGTTGGACATGCAGAATGGTCTTTTGTAAATAGACTTATGATAGGATGTTCGAGCTACATCATACTTATTTTGTTAGTAACATAATACAGATGTTTCCTCATTAATGTTGACTGTGTGCGCTACATACCAAATGATGTTTTTTTCCTCAGATTCTGGAAGGGAAATCTTTTAAACTCAAGTATCCATGGGTAGGTGTTGTCAATCGCTCCCAAGCAGATATTAACAAGAATGTCGACATGATTGCTGCTCGGAGAAGAGAGAGGGAGTACTTTTCCAATACTACAGAGTATAGGCACCTTGCACATAAAATGGGTTCTGAGCATTTGGCAAAGATGTTGTCCAAGGTAAGTGTTTTCACGAGGGTTGATGTAGTTTTCTTCACCAGTGTTTTTAGAAATTAGAATAATAACGCATTTTTGAAATATGTTAGGAATGGTAAATATGAGTTACTTYATAGTAGTAAGGATCCAAAGTAAGTGTTTCCACAAAGGTTGGTGCTACTTTTCTTAGGAGACGAACAAAACGAGAAAATAGATATAAGTATCAAAAGAACCTACTAGGATACTAGGAATTTTGTGGCAATACTCAATTACATCATGTTTCTCTATATCTGTTGCGGTTGAAACAGAGTCTAATTGCAACATTTTTTTTTTTAAATTGCCAGCATCTAGAACATGTGATCAAGTCGAGAATTCCAGGCATCCAGTCRCTTATTAACAAAACAGTATTGGAGCTGGAATCTGAACTAAGTCGCCTTGGAAAGCCTATTGCAGCTGATGYAGGGGTAAGATTGTGTATTCTTTTGTCTYTGATTTCTATTCTTAATTACAAGATTTACTTACTGTTTTGGTGCAGGGGAAGCTGTACTCAATAATGGAGATATGTCGGCTTTTTGATCAAATATTCAAGGAGCATCTCGATGGAGTRTACGTTTTGACCACTTTTG